GAACCATAACCATAACACACCCCGATGGATGGATGGAGTCAGAGAGAACCATAACACACCCCGATGGATGGATGGAGTCAGAGAGAACCATAACCATAACACACCCCGATGGATGGATGGAGTCAGAGAGAACCATAACCATAACACACCCCGATGGATGGATGGAGTCAGAGAGAACCATAACCATAACACACCCCGATGGATGGAAGGAGTCAGAGAGAACCATAACCATAACACACCCCGATGGATGGATGGAGTCAGAGAGAACCATAACACACCCCGATGGATGGATGGAGTCAGAGAGAACCATAACCATAACACACCCCGATGGATGGACAGAGTCAGAGAGAAGCATAACCATAACACACCCCGATGGATGGACGGAGTCAGAGAGAACCATAACCATAACACACCCCGATGGATGGACAGAGTCAGAGAGAACCATAACCATAACACACCCCGATGGATGGATGGAGTCAGAGAGAACCATAACACACCCCGATGGATGGATGGAGTCAGAGAGAACCATAACCATAACACACCCTGATGGATGGATGGAGTCAGAGAGAACCATAACCATAACACACCCCGATGGATGGATGGAGTCAGAGAGAACCATAACCATAACACACCCCGATGGATGGAAGGAGTCAGAGAGAACCATAACCATAACACACCCCGATGGATGGACGGAGTCAGAGAGAACAATGACTGGCGCTGAGAGGTCATAACCTCCTAATTAGCTACTACAGCCTCTGACGTGTTGAGTTGTCAGTCACTGTGCCATGTAAAAGGGGCTACCTGAGAGCACACAGGTGACAAGGGTCCAGGAGCACCCCAGATGCCCCAGCTTGTCCAATGAAAGGCCAGTATAGTGGCTTTACACCCCATCGGGACTTCTAGCTTCTTGGCTTTCAGGCTTTATCCCTTCACACACTCTCTTTCATTTCTCTCCCTCTCTTTCTTTCTTTCTTTCTCTCTCTCCCTCCTGCTCCTTCTCTCTCACTCATTCCCCGCTCCATCTCTCCGTCTCCAGTCTTACCTGGATCTGAACATAATCTCCACGTCTGTCTAATCCATCTGGTCTTTCAGGGTCTTGTTCCCCTCCTCTCTCCCCTGATCAAGGCTCTCTACACAAGGCAGATATCACAACCCCACCCCCCTGTGATGATAACCCTGGAACAAGGACTTATCACCAAGATGACTACAAATTCTTCTTGTAGTCATCAATGAGCTTGCTGCACCTTTCTACTGGCAATTTGGCCCACTTGTCAGCAGCAAACTGATCTAAATCTTCAATATTTGAGGTGTGCCCCACCAACTGCTGTTTTCAGATCTCACCATAAGTTTGGATGTGATTCAGATCTGGACTCTTCGCTGGCCACTCCAGAACAGTCCAGCATCTCTGAACCCTTCCAGAGAAACAGTCCAAAAACTGTGTCTCTGTTGAAGATTGTGAGTCTTCCAGCAGGACAACAACCCCAAACACACATCAAAAGCACCCTGGAATGGTTCAACAAGAAACCCTGGACTGTTCTGGAGTCGCCAGCAAAGAGTCCAGATCTGAATCACATCCAGAACCTATTGGAGAGCTGACAACAGCAGTGGGAGGAGGACACGATTGAAGACTTAGCGCAGTTTGCTGCTGAAGAGTGGGCCAAATTGCCAGTAGAAATGTGCAGCAAGCTCATTGATGGCTACAAGAATAATTTGTTGCCGTTTTCTTGGGAAAGGCTGTGCAACCAAGTACTAGCTCCGGGGTTCCAATACTTTTGTCCATGCCGTTTGTCTTTATTTTCAAATTAAAATCGGAAACTTTAGTTTACAAAAATAAAATTAGTTCTGCAATGTTGGAAATACAATAAAACGGCATGGAGACCAAAAAGTTCAACTTATTTGAGAAGAAATAGGGAATTATTTCAGAAAAGTGCAAGGGTGCCAATATATTTGCCCACAATAATAATAATATGCCATTTAGCAGACGCTTTTATTCAAAGCGACTTACAGTCATGCGTGCATACATTTTTTTTTGTGTATGGGTGGTCCCGGGGATTGAACCCACTACCTTGGCGTTACAAGCGCCGTGCTCTACCAGCTGAGCTACAGAGGACCACAGCTGTATCTATACAGTATATTCTAATGGAACTTTCTATTTCATTTTCATGGAAACTCTTTTTTTATTCACCATTATGTATGAATTAGTGTGTAACCCTTTTAAAAATGTTCCCAGGTATTATAAATGTACCCAGGTATGCTGAAATGATTAGTGAAGAACCTGATTGTCCATCACAAGGGAAAGTTGGGCGGAAACAACGCAAGAAGCTCAGGGCCACGTTCAGATGCCAAACGTTTTCGAACCTTGCAGATAGAAATGCATGAATAGATGCGACGTGATTCCTTATTTTACATGTCAGAGCGGCATGTTTGTTCTACTTAACATATTTCTATCCGAACGTTCCAAAACGTTGAGTCCTGCTGAACGCGACTCTGGGTAAATCTAAAGGACGCCGCGGGCATGCGCGTTCCTTCAGCGCTGGGAAAGTTTTCCTGCAAGTTGAGCGGAGCAGAGGAGAACACTTGAAACTGTGGAGCAGCACAATGCATTGGCTTGAGTGAGGAGGCGTCAAGCAACAGATAAATAAATAAAACACTACGTTTTTCATTGAAGTTTACAACAAGAAATAAGGATTTGTAAATACGTTTTGTGATTAACTTTGGAAGTTGGATATCGCATCATAACGCACTGTAAGTAGCATATGGTTTTGTTTTTAGTGATTCTGTTGTAGGAAAAAGTGGAAATAACCATGAGAGGACTACGATAAACCGAGGAATTGTAATCTAGGCCTATAAGGCATTATTGCAAATTCGCTATAGTCTAAACCATTGTTTTTATAAAGTAATTTAGCCTACATTTAATTGAGAAAAAAAAAAGTTTTACATTTTAGTCATTTAGCAGACGCAGAGATTTAATTTCAAACACCCAGGTGGCTGAGTGTTTTAAATGAAAGAAAGTCTATTTTAGGAACTGACACCGTTTAGGTTAAATCTGTCAATTGAATGTGTTTGTTTAGGGGGTGTCCACGCAAACTCAGTCCTCTAACGTTGGGTCTACTCTTCTTTCCTCCTTTAATTAAAACCATCAGGTTATGAACTTTCTTCGGAGGACTCCTCCTCCTAAATTATGTATTTATTTAACATTGTTTTCTTTTGAAGAATGGCTGCCTTGGCTGTATAGAAACAGCGTTTTCAGACTTTTGGGAACCCACTGCCTGAAGTGTTGTGATTTTAATGAGTAATTTAAGGTAGGCCTAATCAGAGATGAAGGTCTTTGGCTGTGTTTAGACAGGCAGCACAATTAAGATCTTTTTTTTCACTAATTGGTCTTTTGCCCAATTTAGATCAGCTCTGGAAAAGATCTGATGTGAAAAGATCTGATGTGATTGGTAAAAAAAAGATCCGAATTTGCTGCCTATCTAAACGCAGCCTCTGTAGCGCGGTCACGCGGTGCGAAGTGGAACAACTCATTTGGCATTGATCAAACGCCCGAGTGTTGTCATTCATGCGAAGAATCCCAAATGATGAGGCCCAGATGTTGCCATTTATGATTGAATAACTTATATTTTCAGATGAATTAGAACATGCACGTGAAACCTTGATGACTCATTTGTGTAATTGCAGGTTAGGCCTAAACTTTCCAGTGGTTGCATGACGGTTATTGCTAAATTTCAGAATCTGTTTAAATGCGTGACTGGACTTGTCTTATCTGATGAGAATCTAGTCATATTAGACACGAGAAATTTGGGGACTTTTCTCTGTGTGTGTCTATGTGAGAGTAGATCACATGTTTCTCTACACCTCTCTCCCTCTGATGTCTTCATTTGCAATAATTAGAAGGTAGTGCAGCAGGCAGGGTATGGTGGAGGTGTGGACTTAAGGCAGGCATCAGGCTGAAACTGTGCAGAATTACACATGCTGACCTCTTTCTCCTCTCCCAACCCCTCCTCTCTCGCTCTCAGTACTTTCCCAACACCTTGAACTTCCCTATGAGAGTGTAACCTAACCGGAGGTTTCATTTTTCAGGCATTTTTCAGGCTGTAGAGAGATGAACAGAGATATAACAGGCATAACCATGCTGCTAATTAAAGGACTAGCCAGGTGTCAGAGTTAATAGCTCGTGGGGCAGCACACTGGAATATTCCAAATGCTTCTTGAAAAACCTTAAATACCAGTCTTTGCCTAGTACAGAGTTTTATTTTATTTTATTCATAAAGAATACAGACAGATAAGAAATACTTTATTATTTGAAAAGGTGGTTTGTCAATCACAATCAACAACATAGGTTACATGGATTCCAAATGCCATAGGTTGATGCAGGCTAAGACTCAACCTTTTTAAATCAGGTTATCAGAATGAGTGACAATCGAACACTTGGCTTCCGAATCCCGGAGCACATCTGGTGTCATCATAAATGTCCAGTAACTAAAAGATATGGAGACGTTAATGTCAGGCCCAGGACCAGATCAGACTAGACAGGTCCTGTATTTATAACGTCTGTCTGTCTTTAAATAAGCCATGTGATCGTGGAGACTGAATGAAATGCTTCATTACATTGTCTGATACCAGCATAGCCTATACTGCTATTGGCATAATAAAGATGGCATGAGAGGTATTCTGAGACATGTCTGTCTATTCTGAGACATGTCTGTCTATTGAACCTGAGAGTTGATTTCCTTGTGTTGTTGTTTTCCTAGATTGGAGAGACTGACTGAGACTTGCACCACTGTGAGAAGAGAATAGAGAGCGGACACTCCTTGGTTGAGTAGAGACTGTACTGCCTTTGGGAAGCACCCTGACAAGCATCAAAGCTACACCCTAAATAGCCCCTATAACCTAAATCTCAATATCTATCTATCTATGTTGAACTCTTGCTATCCGCAATGCTAGACCACAACCAGTCCTAAACCCTAGTTGAGCCCTATCCTAACTCCCAACTAGCCTCTATGCTTATCAACCTGACTGTGTCCGTCAAGGAGTCCCTTGTCTTTCATGGAACGCCACCCACCAGCCCTCGCGGTGTTGCACCCCTCGTCTTGGAAGTGACAGCCATGGACACCCTCCCTGTCCTTCCTTGCCCTACCCCTGCTCCCCTACCCCTCACCCCTGCTCCTACCCCTCCGCCACCACCTCCTCCCCCTCCTCCTCCCCCACCTCCCTCCACCTCCTCCTCCTCCTCCTCTCCTCTGACCCGTATGGACGCGGCCAGCCGTAGACGGCTGAGGAAACTGAACTGGGAGCAGATCCCTAAGGAGAAGGTGGAGGGGAGGAAAAGTGTCTGGAGTGGAGCGGCTACGGAGGAGGAAGAGTTCCCTATAGACCTCCACTCTCTGGATGAGTTGTTTGGACAGAAGGACAGTAAACCTCAGGACAGAGCCGGGAGTTTGAGACGGAGGTCTGTGCTGATGCGATGCAGTTCACCCAAGGACAACACCACAGATAAGGTGAGATAGCTGGGAGAGGATGAGAGGGCTGGAGATGACTGGGAGAGACTAGGTATGGGATAGGAGAGACTAGGTATGGGATAGGAGAGACTAGGTATGGGATAGGAGAGACTAGGTATGGGATAGGAGAGACTAGGTATGGGATAGGAGAGACTAGGTATGGGATAGGAGAGACTAGGTATGGGATAGGAGAGACTAGGTATGGGATAGGAGAGACTGGTATGGGATAGGAGAGACTGGGTATGGGATAGGAGAGACTGGGTATGGGATAGGAGAGACTGGGTATGGGATAGGAGAGACTGGGTATGGGATAGGAGAGACTGGGTATGGGATAGGAGAGGTATGGGATAGGAGAGACTGGGTATGGGATAGGAGAGACTAGGTATGGGATAGTGAGAGACTAGGTATGGGATAGGAGAGACTAGGTATGGGATAGGAGAGACTGGGTATGGGATAGGAGAGACTGGTATGGGATAGGAGAGACTAGGTATGGGATAGGAGAGACTGGGTATGGGATAGGAGAGACTGGGTATGGGATAGGAGAGACTCGGTATGGGATAGGAGAGACTGGGTATGGGATAGGAGAGACTGGGTATGGGATAGGAGAGACTGGGTATGGGATAGGAGAGACTGGGTATGGGATAGGAGAGACTGGGTATGGGATAGGAGAGACTGGGTATGGGATAGGAGAGACTGGGTATGGGATAGGAGGATGGTATGGGAGACTGGGTATGGGATAGGAGAGACTGGGTATGGGATAGGAGAGACTGGGTATGGGATAGGAGAGACTGGGTATGGGATAGGAGAGACTGGGTATGGGATAGGAGAGACTAGGTATGGGATAGGAGAGACTAGGTATGGGATAGGAGAGACTGGGTATGGGATAGGAGAGACTAGGTATGGGATAGGAGAGACTGGGTATGGGATAGGAGAGACTGGGTATGGGATAGGAGAGACTGGGTATGGGATAGGAGAGACTGGGTATGGGATAGGAGAGACTGGGTATGGGATAGGATAGGAGAGACTGGGTATGGGATAGGATAGGAGAGACTGGGTATGGGATAGGATAGGATAGACTGGGTATGGGATAGGATAGGAGAGACTGGGTATGGGATAGGAGAGACTAGGTATGGGATAGGAGAGACTAGGTATGGGATAGGAGAGGTATGGTATCCAGGCTCTGTCGCCGCCGGCCGCGACCGGGAGACTCATGGGCGGCGCACAATTGGCCCAGCGTCGTCCAGGGTAGGGGAGGGAATGGCCGGCAGGGATGTAGCTCAGTTGATAGAGCATGGCGTTTGCAACGCCAGGGTTGTGGGTTCGATTCCCACGTGGGGCCAGTATAAAAAAAATATGTATTCACTAACTGTAAGTCGCTCTGGATAAGAGCGTCTGCTAAATGACTAAAATGTAAATGTAAATGTATGGGATAGGAGAGACTAGGTATGGGATAGGAGAGACTAGGTATGGGATAGGAGAGGTATGGGATAGGAGAGACTGGGTATGGGATAGGAGAGACTGGGTATGGGATAGGAGAGACTGGGTATGGGATAGGAGAGACTGGGTATGGGATAGGAGAGACTAGGTATGGGATAGGAGAGACTAGGTATGGGATAGGAGAGACTAGGTATGGGATAGGAGAGACTGGGTATGGGATAGGAGAGACTGTATGGGATAGGAGAGACTGTGTATGGGATAGGAGGACTGGGTATGGGATAGGAGAGACTGGGTATGGGATAGGAGAGACTGGGTATGGGATAGGAGAGACTGGGGTATGGGATAGGAGAGACTGGGTATGGGATAGGAGAGACTGGGTATGGGATAGGAGAGACTAGGTATGGGATAGGAGAGGACTGGGTATGGGGATAGGAGAGACTGGGTATGGGATAGGAGAGACTGGGTATGGGATAGGAGAGACTGGGTATGGGATAGGAGAGACTGGGAGAGGACTAGGTATGGGATAGGAGAGACTAGGTATGGGATAGGAGGACTGGGTATGGGGATAGGAGAGACTAGGTATGGGATAGGAGTGACTAGGTATGGGATAGGAGAGACTAGGTATGGGATGAGAGACGGGTATGGGATAGGAGAGACTGGGTATGGGATAGGAGAGACTGGGTATGGGATAGGAGAGACTGGGAGAGACTAGGTATGGGATAGGAGAGACTAGGTATGGGATAGGAGAGACTAGGTATGGGATAGGAGAGACTAGGTGTGGGATAGGAGAGACTAGGTGTGGGATAGGAGAGACTGGGTATGGGATAGGAGAGACTGGGTATGGGATAGGAGAGACTGGGTATGGGATAGGAGAGACTGGGAGAGACTAGGTATGGGATAGGAGAGACTAGGTATGGGATAGGAGAGACTAGGTATGGGATAGGAGAGACTAGGTATGGGCTAGAGGCAGACACTGACTGGCATCGAGGATAGGTGTAGTTTCAACTGACACTGACTGGCACCGACGCTAGGTGTACTTTAAACTGACACTGACTGGCACAGAGGCTAGGTGTAGTTTAAACTTTGTTTGATGCCATTCCATTTGCTCCGTACCAGCCATTATCATGAGCCGTCCTCCCCTCAGCAGCCTCCACTGATATTCCGGTAGACTACTGACTATTATTCCACCTTGATGATAGTATCTGACATGTTCTCTGTGTGTGTGTTTGCAGGTCTCACTACTGGACTCCAAACGCAGTATGAATGTTGGAATATTTCTACGGCAGTTTAAGACGTAAGGATCTACTTCCCTTTCCTCAGCACACTCTTTCATTTTTCTATGAAGTATTTATTTGTAATAAATAGAAGGTCCTAGAGAGTACCTGGTGCTCTGGTATCAGAGGTCAAGCACCATGAATCAGAGTCTGTAGGAGGAAACACAAGGGGCTAGGACTGCACCCAGGGGAACAACCATTCACACTGGAGAGGATGGGCTCCTATCAAGGAGGGGGAAGTGTGTCAGTGTGCGCACGTGTGAGTGTGCGCATGTGTGTTAGTGTAAAGACGTGGTCTGAGTGAGTGTGTGTGTGGGGGGGGGGGGGGGGGGGTCGTCTAAGTGTGTGGGGACAAGGTGTGTCAAGAAGGTGACTGGTGCAGATGAGATTTACATTTTAGTCATTTAGCAGACACTCTTTTCCAGAGCGACTTACAGTTAGTGAGTGCATACATTTTTCATAGATGGCATCCTGCCTTTGCTGCTGGACTGTAGGGGGGCACAGGGTAGGTGTAGGGCGCGGGGTAAAATGGTGACCCAGGGGGGTCAAAGTTGACACCTGCTCAGACCCTTAAGGAGAGCTGCCCTCCAGTAGAGAGTCAGACATAGTGTGCATCTCAAATGGTACCCTATTCCCTTTATAGTGCACTACTTTTGACCAGAACCCATGGGGAATAGGGTGCCATTTGGGACACACAGCTAGTCCTCTTCCTCTACTCTATAGTTTGAGTCTGTAAATTACTTTTAAAACGACTAGTAGTGCTTTTCTATAGCTTTATGTTTTCACTGTTATTTTATGTAGAGTTCAGATGTTAGGTTTTAAATCGGTGTACTGTTTGAAAGTAATGTCTCTTTGTTGATGCTGCAGATGTGGTTGGTGTCTGTGTGTGTGTTTGTCGCTGTGGGTCATAAATGTTTCTTGCTTCGGTACTTTTGTCAAATGTGTCTCGCGTCGTCGACTGAGGGAGGATCAAGTCTATCAGCGCAGCCGATGACCCCTTATCGCGTGAGAGCACCATGCCTTCTCCACAGCCTCCACTTACTCAGTGCTTGCTCTAGCCTGCCACGAGAAACCACTGAACTCACTGGGAGTCTGGGCAGCATCATGTTAGCTCCCCGCTCATGCTGCGCAGGAGTTAACACACTTGTTGAAACTGCTAATTACTGTTCACTAAACAATGTCCAGTACAGGCTAGAACACCACAGAAGATGACGGTAGCTAGCTTTGTAGGCTAACTTTCCTTGCTAGCTTACAGCTGAAGACAACATCAATTCACTGCCCTAGTACCTTGTTTGTGATAATATGCAAACCATAACTCAAAATATTGTCACCAAAAACGTTATTCACTCACTTCGTTTCCCCCGCCTCTCCCCGTTAAGATCTTTGCTTGAGCCTGGAACCGACTTTGTGTGTGAATGACGTCATGGGTCTTAACGAGACCTCGCACACGTTTTAATAAAAGAAGAGATTGCTTCTTCTATGCAAATGTTGTTGATCAGTACAATAAAATAAGTCCAGAATGGAAGGTAAACCGTTTTTCATCTGTAGCCCCATGAAATCAGCCAAAACAAGATCAATAACTCAATGCATGCACACACTCCTATTGAATATGTATTCACCTGTATTGTGAAGAGGCCTAGGCTACATCTTGATTTACCCTGTTTATCTATAGAGATTTACCATTCAAATAAATGATTACCATTATGTTATGTGGTTAGATTGGTAAAAAAAATATTCACATTGATTGTGTGATTTGTATAATTGATTCATTAATGCATACATATAAAAAAATAAATAAATGTAATGATATTGAACTCAAAAGATCTGTCTGGATCAAGTGCCATTCTGTGACATTGGCTAATACGGCGCCTTTTTTTTGCCGTGGTATCGTTTTGATATCGAGTATCGGGTATCGTGGTTCTAACTCTGGTATCGAAGTAAAGATTCTGGTGTTGTGACAATACTAGTGGGTATGATGGTAGCGACCAGACGATGCCCTCTTGCAGAGCAGGTATGTTGTCATGCCCGTGCGTGTACTGTACACAGAGTTCACAGAGATTCAATTGTGCGCATCCTAATTGAATAGAGCTTTTCTCTCTCTGAACAACATATGCCAGAACATGTAGTTGAAAGCCTTTATGAAGAGAGAAGAGCCTCTCCTATGGACAGAAGCATTTGTCTTCTTACATAGAGCTTGTTTGTCTTGTGTGAGTGTTGTCGCAAGGTACTTTTAGATTTGCGGTATGGGTGGGAGTAGTTTGAACAGATTGGTCCCTTCGTGAGACACTAGGGTATTAGTATGTGTACTACCTATTTCAGCTATTATTGTATCCAGCGTTCAGTTCTGCATAGAAATAACAGGCCGGAGGCTACAAAGGCAGAGAGGAAGAAAAAAAACTTTTATTGAACTCTTTTGAATCAGGATAACCCCAGTTGAGCCACGTGTATAATCACTCCTCCACTACAGTTAGTGTTATCTGTGATTCAGACAGAGCTGTGGCATCAGTGAACAGAGGGCCAACAGGCAGTCATGTTTTCTCTCAAAATTTGTGAACACATTTGTTTAAATCCCTGTTAGTGAGCATTTCTCCTTTGCCAAGATAATCCATCCACCTGACAGGTGTGGCATATCAAGAAGCCGATTAAACAGCATGATCATTACACAGGTGCACCTTGTGCTGGGGACAATAAAAGGCCACTCTAAAATGTGCAGTTTTGTCACACAACACAATGCCACAGATGTTTTGAGGGAGCTTGCAATTGGTATGCTGACTGCAGGAATGTTCATTTCTCTACCATAAGCTGCCTCCAACGTCGTTTTAGAAAATCTGGCAGTATGTCCAACCGGCCTCACAACTGCAGACCACGTGTCACCACGCCAGCCCAGGACCTCCATATCCGGCTTCTTCAGCTGTACGATCATCTGAGACCAGCCACCCGGACTGCTGAGGAAACTGGGTTTGCACAACCCGAAGAAGTTCTGCACAAACCTTCAGAAACCGTCTTAGGGAAGCCCATCTTCGGCAAATGCTCACCTTCGATGGCCACTGGCACGCTGGAGAAGTGTGCTCTTCACTGATTAATCCCGGTTTCAAATGTACCGGGCAGATGGCAGACAGTGTATGGCGTCATGTGGGCGAGCGGTTTGCTGATGTCAACATTGTGAACAGAGTGCCCCATGGTGGCGATGGGGTTAGGGTATGGGCAGGCATAAACTACGGACAACGAACACAGAGTTCCTGAAGCCCATTGTCGTGTATTTCATCTGCCGCCATTACCTCATGTTTCAGCATGATAATGCAAGGACCTGTACACAATTCCTGGAAGCTGAAAATGTCCCAGTTCTTCCATGGCCTGCATATTCTCCAGACATGTCACCCATTGAGCATGTTTGGGATGCTCTGGATTGACGTGTACGACAGCATGTTCAAGTTCCTGCTAATATTCAGCAACTTTGCACAGACATTGAAGAGGAGTGGGACAACATTCCACAGGCCACAATCAACAGCCTGATCAACTCTTTGCAGAAGGAGATGTGTCAAGCTGCATGAGGCAAATGGTGATCACACCAGATACTGACTGGTTTTCTGATCCATGCCCCTACCTCTTTTTAAGGTATCTGTGACCAACCGATGCATATCAGTATTCCCAGTCATGTGAAATCCATAGATTAGGACCTAATGAATTGATTTCCTTATATGAACTGTAACTCAGTCAAATCTTTGAAATTGTTGCATGTGGCGTTTTTATATTTTTGTTCAGTGTAATAGGGGAAGGGAATGAAAAAGGAGGAGAGAGGAATGTCAGGAAAAGAGAGGGGGGAGGGAAAGGAAGAAGTGAAGGAATGGGGTGACGCTGTCTGATGAAGGTAGTGATGAAAGGAGAGAGGTATCTCTAAATGGACTCCTGGCTCCTGGAGGGGTTGAGCTGCATACTGGACTTGTCATTTGGAGGGAGTCGGGGTCGGGCAGAGGTTATACAGTCAGGAACTGGCCAGTTTCTGCTCTCTCTCTCTCTGTCTGGTGATACCTCAACCTCTAAGGACCGCTGTGTGCGTGTCCGCATATGGGTTTGTGTGTGTGTGTGTGTTTCTATATACAGTGGGGAAAAAAAGTATTTAGTCAGCCACCAATTGTGCAAGTTCTCCCACTTAAAAAGATGAGAGAGGCCTGTAATTTTCATCATAGGTACACGTCAACTATGACAGACAAATTGAGGAAAAAAAATCCAGAAAATCCCATTGTAGGATTTTTAATGAATTTATTTGCAAATTATGGTGGAAAATAAGTAATTGGTCACCTACAAACAAGCAAGATTTCTGGCTCTCACAGACCTGTAACTTCTTCTTTCAGAGGCTCCTCTGTCCTCCACTCGTTACCTGTATTAATGGCACCTGTTTGAACTTGTTATCAGTATAAAATACACCTGTCCACAACCTCAAACAGTCACACTCCAAACTTCACAATGGCCAAGACCAAAGAGCTGTCAAAGGACACCAAAAACAAAATTGTAGACCTGCACCAGGCTGGGAAGACTGAATCTGCAATAGGTAAGCAGCTTGGTTTGAAGAAATCAACTGTGGGAGCAATTATTAGGAAATGGAAGACATACAAGACCACTGATAATCTCCCTCGATCTGGGGCTCCACGCAAGATCTCACCCCGTGGGGTCAAAATGATCACAAGAACGGTGAGCAAAAATCCCAGAACCACACGGGGGGACCTAGTGAATGACCTGCAGAGAGCTGGGACCAAAGTAACAAAGCCAACCATCAGTAACACACTACGCCGCCAGGGACTCAAATCCTGCAGTGCGAGACGTGTCCCCCTGCTTAAGCCAGTACATGTCCAGGCCCGTCTGAAGTGCATTTCGATGATCCAGAAGAGGATTGGGAGAATGTCATATGGTCAGATGAAACCAAAATATAACTTTTTGGTAAAAACTCAACTCGTCATGTTTGGAGGACAAAGAATGCTGAGTTGCATCCAAAGAACACCATACCTACTGTGAAGCATGGGGTTGGAAACATCATGCTTTGGGGCTGTTTTTCTGCAAAGGGACCAGGACGACTGATCCGTGTAAAGGAAAGAATGAATGGGGCCATGTATCGTGAGATTTTGAGTGAAAACCTCCTTCCATCAGCAAGGGCATTGAAGATGAAACGTGGCTGGGTCTTTCAGCATGACAATGATCCCAAACACACCGCCCGGGAAACGAAGGAGTGGCTTCGTAAGAAGCATTTCAAGGTCCTGGAGTGGCCTAGCCAGTCTCGAGATCTCAACCCCATAGAAAATCTTTGGAGGGAGTTGAAAGTCTGTGTTGCCCAGCGACAGCCCCAAAACATCACTGCTCTAGAGGAGATCTGCATGGAGGAATGGGCCAAAATATCAGCAACAGTGTGTGAAAACCTTGTGAAGACTTACAGAAAACGTTTGACCTGTGTCATTGCCAACAAAGGGTATATAACAAAGTATTGAGAAACTTTTGTTATTGACCAAATACTTATTTTCCACCATCATATGCCAATAAATTCATTAAAAATCCTACAATGTGATTTTCTGGATTTTTTTTTCTCATTTTGTCTGTCATAGTTGACGTGTACCTATGATGAAAATTACAGGCCTCTCTCATCTTTTTAAGTGGGAGAACTTGCACAATTGGTGGCTGACTAAATACTTTTTTTCCCCACTGTATGTGTGTGTGTTTGCTCAGGGCACATGTCATGCAGTGTGTCGCCAATGTGGCGTCAAAGGCCTTTTCCCCAACAGTCAGTGAGATAAGAGGAGATAAGCTTGACCTACAGTGTGTGTATGTGTTTACCAAGCAGAGTGATCAGAGAATATCAAACCCATGCCGCCTTTCCAGACCCCTGGATGAAACCCCCTCCACCATTCCAGACCCCTGGATGAAACCCCCTCCACCATTCCAGACCCCTGGATGAAACCCCCTCCACCATTCCAGACCCCTGCATGAAACCCCCTCCACCATTCCAGACCCCTGCATGAAACCCCCTCCACCATTCCAGACCCCTGCATGAAACCCCCTCCACCATTCCAGACCCCTGCATGAAACCCCCTCCACCATTCCAGACCCTTGCATGAAACCCCCTCCACCATTCCAGACCCCTGGATGAAACCCCCTCCACCATTCCAGACCCCTGGATGAAACCCCCTCTTTTCTTCATTTTATAAAATAATTAGTGTTATCTTGAATCACCTCAATATATCAGTGACTTACATCCTCCGTGGTTGGCTTAAACCCCATTTCCCTAAACCCCACAGACGGTGCAGCTGCGTCTGAGTTGTGTGTGTGTAAAGTGATGTCACCATGGAGCTGAAGGGTGTTGTCATGTTTCCACAGGGCTGCCCAGGAGATAGTTGAGGATATCCGGCAGGGGGTCGGGACCCGCTATGGGGCCGAGAAACTGGCCGAGCTCTGCAAACTGCTGCCTGACACCGACGAGGTAAAGACTCTGCTCCGTGTCCTCTCCGACACACCGGAGCTCCTACTGCAACAGCACTGACTAGCCTGTAGCCCCCCACCCCTCTCTTCATCTGGTTCTGATGATCCTGATCAACAGTTTGCCGTTACACCATCGTCTCAGAGTTGAGAAATGCTTACTGACAATACATGTTGTAAAAGATGTTGCCAATGACTGCACATGGTTATAAGAATATAACAGTAATAAGAATCACCCTGGGTGATGGTGGTTTTACCACTGGACTCAAGCAAAGCTCTGAATTCTAAAGATTATTTCTGAAGATTCTAATAAATTGAACCTGGGTGGAATTCCCAATAAAAGGAGTGAGGCTTGTAGAATGTAACAGGAAATCTGACTGATAAGGTCTCTAAACTGTCTGTCTGGGTATATTCACAGGAGGCTCGTCTGAAGAGGTTCAAGGGAGAACGCAGTGTGCTTGGGGAGCCTGACCTCTTCATGATTCTGCTAGTGGAAGTCCCCAGGTATACCACACAACCCTAGAACTGTTAACGCTTCACTATTTTCAACTATTACAAACCCCTAACCTTGAATTTCAAACTATGGTGCAAAATACTCCAATTGATCTGCTTTTCTCAGGGTGACTGTCTATCGCCTCATTTTGCAGTGACCCCCACCCTCCACACACCAATTGTTGATTCACTGACTTTCCACTCTGTGCTGATGTGTGTGTCGTGAGTATCGATAAGGCTCTAACCACCTTCCTCTCCTCTGATCCTCCTCTCCTCTCCTCCCCCTATCCTCTCCTCTGCTCCCCCTCTCCTCCCCTTTTCTCCCCCGTTAGCTTTCGTCTGCGTCTGGACTCCATGATCCTGCAGGAGGAGTTTGACTCCGCCGTGACCTCTCTCTGTCTGGCGGCCAGATGTCTGAGGGAGGCGGCCAGAGGTAAACCATCAGCAGGGGCTTTTAGTTAAGGGTACATCCCAAATGGCACCCTATTCCCTATATAGTGTACTACTTTTGACCAGGTTCCAAAGGGCTCTGGTCAAAGGTTGTGCACTATGTAGGGAATAGGGTGCCATTTGGGATGAACCCTAGGCCTACTCTACTCCCTATCACTGCCCTTTTAAAGTATTTGATATGGCCGTTCACGTCCATACCATTCACTTCCCCTTTTAGCTCTCTTGTCTTGTTTGAGTTTAGTATGAAATGGTGGAAGTATTCTTTTTAGTTCAGGCCTAGTCTACTGTTCATCACCGTCGGCAGGTAGCTTAGTGGGTAAGAGCGTTGTGCCAGTAACCGAAAGGTCGCTGGTTCTAATCCACCAGCCGACTAGGTGAAAAATCTGTCGATGTGCCCTTAAGCAAGGCACTTAACCCTAATTGCTCCTGTAAGTCGCTCTGGATAAGAGCGTCTGCTAAATGACTAAAATGTAAATGTCCCTTTAAAGCCCTTTGTGGCCCATCCACTTCCACTTTTAGATAAGACCAATGTTTTTTTAGTTTCCCCTTTAATCACCAGCGGGGGATATAGTTTCCCCTTTTAAGTGCTCAGTCTTGTTTGAGTTTAGTCTGGGATGGTGATCTGAAGTTGGTTCAGAATTAGTGACGTTATGTACTGTAGGTTACAGATGGGCCACAGGTGTTGGATTTTGCACGTGGGTTTTTGTCTAAAGAAGATATGAGAATTTTATTCACCAGTTTTATGAAGGGTCGCTGGCAGAAGACATCCAAGTTATCGGAAACATTGAAGTTAGCATCTAAGTGATGTCGAAGGTTTATTGGTGTAAGACAGAATTACTAAATAATTAATTTCTAAACATGTCTCTCTGTCTCTCTCTCTGTCTTTCTGTCTCTACCTCTCTGTGTGTCTGTCTGTCTGTGTCTCACTCTCTCTCTCACACACACACACACACACAGAGCTGTTGAGCTGTCCTGAGCTGCACTCCATCCTCCGTCTGGTTCTGAAGGCAGGAAACTACATGAACGCTGTGAGTATGTTGTCATGTTTTCTCTTTCTTTCTTCTTCTCTTTCTACCTTTCAGATGAAAGAGCCGTCCTTTATCTGACTGGGAGCCGCTCTGGCTGCACCTGGGTTTTGTAATGTTGTGTTTGTTTAAGATGTTGTGTGTGTGTGACCTCTTTTCACTGACCTACTGTATTTGACCTCAGGGTGGGTACGCAGGCAACGCAGCAGGGTTCCGAATCCCCTCTCTGCTCAAGCTGGCCGACACCAAAGCCAACAAGCCTGGCATGAACCTCCTGCACTTCGTGGCCATGGTAAGACCTGATCTAGGATCAGGTACCTTTTGCCTATATACTGTAGCTGTATTCATCATCTAAAATGCAAAACTGATCCTACTGTAGATCAGCACTCCTACCCCGACGTCGTCAATTATACACCTTCCTAATATTGAGTTGCACCCCCCCTTTTGCCCTCAGAACAGCCTCAATTTGTCAGGGCATGGATTCTACAAGGTGTTGAAAGCGTTCCACAGGGATGCTGGCCCATGTTGACTGCAATGCTTCCCACAATTGTGTCAAGTTGGCTGGATGTCCTTTAGGTGGTGGACCATTCTTGATACACACGGGAAACAGTAGAGCGTGAAAAACCCAGCAGCATTGCAGTTCTTGACACACATCGGTGCGCCTGGCACCTACTACCATACCCTGTTCAAAGGCACTTAAATATTTTGTCTTGTCCATTCACCCTCTGAATGGCACACATACACAATCCAAGTCTCAATTGTCTCATTGCTTAAAAAATATTCTTTAACCTGTCTCCTCCCCTTCATCTACACTGATTTGAAGTGGATTTAACAAGCGACGTCAATAAGGGATCATATCATTCACCTGGTCAGTCTGTCATGGAAAGAGCAGGTGTTCATAATGTTTTGTACACTTGGTGACCCTCGAAGTGCATTACTTTAATTTATCTTTATGTCAAGACTTACCTATAGCTGTCGCAGTAATATGCCACACATCTAAATAAACTCTCTCTAGATGCAGTTCAAAGACAACAACATTAATCCCAGACTTCTCTTTATTGCAGACTAACAATCATCTGACAGACTGCACATTTAGTTATTTTCTTATTTAGCTAAATTGTTCAATTGGCACAGATGAAACGGGTCTTCAGAATCTCTTTTAAACTATGTGTTGGGTATTTGTTGTATTTGACCAACCATGAATTATTACATTCACAATAACCACATCAACACACTGAATCATGACACAATGCAATGATTCATCCAGAATTATGACAGCTCACTGTGTGAAACAATAGCTGGATCAGCTCCGTCTCTGTCTCCACAGGAAGCGGTGAAAAAGGACCAGAGTTTACTGTCGTTTCCTGGCCAACTAGGACATGTCGGCCCCGCCTCCAGGTCAGTAAGAGCCAGTAATACAGATCCCACAAGATTAGAATTGCCCCCCTTCTGCCTTCCTCATAGGGACTGGGCAACGTTCAGTTGCCAAACGCTGTCGAACTTTGCAGATAGAAATGCCATGAATAGAGCCAGCATGATTCCTTGTTCTACATGTCAGAGGCCATGTTTCTTCTATATTTCATATTTCTATCCGAAAGTTCCAAAACGTTGCCCTGCTGAACGCGCCCCTGTTCTAATAGCTTGAAAATCTACCTTGGGGCAAAAACAGATCTTTGCGTGATATGCATATAAAGAAAGGTTTTCACTTCATTGCTTTTAACCAATCCAGCAGATCTGTAATTAATTAATTAAACGGAGTAAAGAAGGAAGGAAGCAATCTGAAGTGTTTGAACGTGGCCCGTGGGGTTCTGGGGAACATATGAGATCTGCGCTATAACATCAATAAACCCCAGCAGGCCACACACACACACACACACACACACACACACACACACACACACACACTACGCCCCACACAAAATACTCCCCACAAAGCTGCTTTAAGACCAGTTTCAACAGGACTGTATTGTTACAGTACTGTCCAGCTGTTAGTGATATAGCTATCCCCTTGTTTTAATATGGCTCATGACAACATTTCTGTTTCAATCCAATATCACGGCTGTGTTGGGTTTGGTTTGGTTAGCTATGTAGGACACTTAGATTGAGTCCCAAATGGCACCCTATTCTGTATATAGTGCAATACTTTTCTCAATACACTATGAAAGGGAATAGGGTGCCATTTGGGACGCACCCTTACTGTCAGTTACTCTGTGGGTATCTGTGTTACTGTCAGTTACTCTGTGGGTATCTGTGTTACTGTCAGTTACTCTGTGGGTATCTGTGTTACTGTCAGTTACTCTGTGGGTATCTGTGTTACTGTCAGTTACTCTGTGGGTATCTGTGTTACTGTCAGTTACTCTGTGGGTATCTGTGTTACTGTCAGTTACTCTGTGGGTATCTGTGTTACTGTCAGTTACTCTGTGGGTATCTGTGTTACTGTCAGTTACTCTGTGGGTATCTGTGTTACTGTCAGTTACTCTGTGGGTATCTGTGTTACTGTCAGTTACTCTGTGGGTATCTGTGTTACTGTCGTTTACTCTGTGGGTATCTGTGTTACTGTCAGTTACTCTGTGGGTATCTGTGTTACTGTCAGTTACTCTGTGGGTATCTGTGTTACTGTCAGTTACTCTGTGGGTATCTGTGTTACTGTCAGTCAGTCAGGACCTAGTAATGAGCGACAGCGTGCTCCTGCTGGGGCAGTCTTGAATGTATTACGTTGTCTGTCAGATGAAAATAACAGCTTGATGTAGGTCACACCTTGGGAACCACTGCTTTGAGTTATAATCTAAGTAACGGCATCTTCTGAAACAAAGATTCCCATATGGTTTGCTTTGCCGCATGCTAGTCTCACGGATTGCAGCAAAAGGTTGGGTTGTGGTTAAAAATGCATGGTTTTATCCAGAGCCATACATTTTGGCCAACTTTTAGAACAGACGCCATCTATTTGTTGGGTCACAGAAACTCACAGCATTCACTTTACTATCATCTATGAAGGTAGACTCAGCAAATTGACGTTGCCACGAGCAGCACCAGAGATATTGAGATGAGCAAGATGCAACACTTCGCTCTCACACAGTCACACACAGTATCTGCGCATGTGTACGGGTTTGCTTCACGCTGTTCGTGCTCTTTAGTTGTTACTGTTATTGACCCACTATGCTGTTTTACTTTCTGCATCTACCTCTTATCGCTGAGTCGACCTTTAAATGTCATGTAAAGTGATGCATCTCTCTCGTCTGTCTTCCTATAGGTTGTGTGAGGAGTCTGTAGTAGAGGATCTCTCCAGGCTCCACAGCCGTGTGGCATCCCTCAGGATCAGTGTCCAGACGGAGGCAGACATCCAGCAGCTCACACAGCCTTTCCTGGAGGTACGGAACTGAACTAGATTCTAGAACATGGATTTAGAACACACAATGATCTAGAACTCACACTGACCTAGAACATACATAATTCTAGATCTACAACAATGATCTATGGTGTCTAGTGAAGTTAGAATTTATGAACTCACAAAGAACAAAACTGAAACTCACATGGCTTTGGTTAACTCTGAGTCTCTTCCCTCCATATTCTTCCTCCTTGTTCAAAATGCAGAACAGTGAGTCTAATCTCGCTCTCTCCTATCCATCTCTCTCTAGGTGGCAGAGGAGCGTCTGAAGGAGGCGGAGGATGAGGTGGAGGGGATGAGGATGTCCAGTCAGGCTCTGGTCCAGTTCTTCTGTGAGGATGACAGCACCTTTAAACTGGAGGAGTCCTGCAGGGTCTTCCACTCCTTTTGCCTTCGCTTCCAAAGAGCCGTACAGGTGAGACCGACTGCTTTACATCAAGCTGTCTGCATGGGTCCCACTACGTGGCCAATCTGCAAAGTCCAAATTTTGTCCATATTGTAAAAATGTACGAAAACAAAAATATGCCTTTTGGTCGTAATTCAAGTTTAGGCATAGGGTTAGGGTTGGGTTTAAAATCTGATTTTAAGAAGATAAATTGTAGAAATAGGTTGGGCTTCCGACTTTGCAACTTGGGCAGATGGAATGTAGACAGACAGGAGTTCTAGACGGATGAGGACAGATAAGATAGAGGCGAAGATGCTTTGCTGATAAATGTTTCTTCTTTTACCTGAAACTCATTTAACCCGTCATGTTCCCTCTCAGGAAAACGCAGAGCGGGAACAGAAGGAGCAGAAGCGGATGGAGCGAGAGCGAGAGATGGTGGAGAAGCGTCGCTCCGTGGCTGTGTGTACAGATCTGGACCTGGGTGTGGCTCTGGGTCGGGTGTCCCCACTGGGAACCCAGGAGAACCAGAATGACCTAGAGAGAACCCTTGAGAACCTGAGCCACAACTGGAACCGGCGCAGCCTTAGAACCCAGGAGAACCGCAGGCACTCCCCCCACCTCCAGAACTTCACCTCCGACCTCCTCCAGAACACCACCTCCGTTCCTCTTCAGACATCCCCGGGTTTGGGTAGAAACACATCCCCCCATCTCCACCTCAGCTCCTCCAACCTCCGTAATACCTCCACCCACCTCCAGACCTCTCCAGGGCTGCCCTGCCCCACCTACCCCAGCCAGGAGAGACCGTCCCTGGGGACAGAGACCAGGACAGAGCCCCTGGTCCATCAGCACCAACCAGTCCTGGAGACTAAGAGACCACATCATGAGGGGACAACTCAGACTCAAGTCTCACAACCGCAACATGAACTGACTTCTAACGTCACTCAAACCCAGTGTGGACGTAGATTCAATGTCCCCCAAAACAGGCAGGACACTATTGCCTATGTCACCCAAACCCAACATGGAATTGTTACTAACGTCATTGAAAGCCAACTTGAACCAACGGCTCGAGGGACTAAAACTCACCATGAACGGACAGTTGATGCCAGCCCGGACCAGCGTGTACTGACCACTAAGTCTATGGCCAGTCCTCATAGACACTCCTCCACTACCACTACTGCCATTCCCAGTGTGAGAAGAAATACCATTGGTCTTAGACACAGGTATGGCCTAGAGGTGACTGACCCTATCCCCGTTTCTCAGGCGAATCGCACAGACACCTCAGTCAGAGACGCAGTGCATCAGAACCCTGACCTCGCTCAGCTCACAGGGTCAACGGTCACTCAGGTGACTCAGCAGCCCTTTGAGTGCCAATCAGAATCATCCATGGCCACTGACACCCCAGACAGTGTCCAATCACAATCCCAGGAGGCTAAGGGAGCCAATGAGACCACACCAGGAAGTGCTGGTGACTTGGAGCTGATGTTTTCACCTGAGGGAGGAACAACCCAGCAGAGGGAAACAGAATCTGCCTCTATACCAGTGGAACAGAGCTGGCTGCCTCCCAGCCTACCAGAGCTGAGCCCACAGCGGGCACAGGAATGCCCAGAGGTCTCCAGCCCGGAGAGGGACCGGTCGTACCCACGTGTGGGCGAAACCCTTGAATGCCACACCCTGGTCCGAGGCCTGCGTTCCTACGACACCCTATCCCCTCCTCCCACCCCCACCACACCCCTCCCCAGAGCCCCACCCAGCCTCTGCTCCAAGTGGAGGAAAGAGAGGCAGGCGGAGACTCCAGGGGCTGGTGCTAGGTCTCCAATGGGGAAAGAGGACTCTCGGAGCGGGAGGAACTCTCCTGTTGTCAGAGGAGGGGCTAAGCGGGGCTTGGTACCCCGTGCAGGTCTACCGAACAATACAGGCATCCATAGGGTGCGTTTTATTTCCAAACCAGAGACACAGACACCCACCGGCCCTGTTCCAAATCCTAATTTACAGACTACACCACGTTCCACTCATCTGGCGTCCGTGCGCAGTGCCTCCATACGCTCCTCCCCCATCACACGTCCTACTACTACCCAGACAGAGGTGAAGCGGAGCAGTAGCACCAGGAGTGAGAGGATCCAGGCTGGGGGTGAGAACCAGCAGCAGGCCCCAGGGAAACCCACCTTGACCCGCCGGGCATCGGAGAGAGCTGGGCTGGGGCTTGGACCAGAGAGGGAGAGGACTTCTAGCACCAGCACCACTAGTAGTACAACTAGCAGCCAGCCAGCCTTTGTCAGAGGCTCCCCTCTCAGGGTGACCAAACGTCTCGCCCCCACCTCCAACTCTGAGACCCAACACTCCTCTCAGCCCCGCTCCACACACAGCCCATCCTCTGCTATGGCTAAAACCATCCGTACAGCTGTTATAGCTGCGGCCAGGACTAAAACGGTCAAGACTAACCCTGGCACAGAGCCCTCTAGAGCTGCTGTCTCTGCCTGCAAAACCCCCACAGCAACACGGATACCTGGACCTAAAATGGCCCGTCCTGCCTCCTCGCCCATGTGGAAGTGATCGTGGGAGATCATACCACTTTTTCAGTCTTCCGTCCAAATGACTATGTTTGTTTATGTTTGGGACCACTGTACAAAATGCGGGTATCAATAAATTACTTGGTGAATTGTATCAGACCTCTCTGTTCTGGAGGGGTAGGCAGTTACTGGTCCATGCAGACTCTATTCAGCTTGTCCAGAATCGATGGGGTGTTTTCACTTAGGTCTGTCCCATTTTAAAGTGCAATTAAGGACGTACCAAGTACCTGCCATACTCACTCTTGTCTGCTGGGAAGATGACTAAGAACTGCAACTCAACAAAATGGCTGCCACGACATCACTCTACATCTACTATGTTTTGCATATGGACAGTAGCTGGACTGTCACTGTAGATAGACATGTATTCTGTTCTACACACTACCTCCATCCACTAGTGTCCTGTCCAGGCAACAGGACACTTCAAGGAGAGACTCACACCCAGCCTGGACTTTTATCAAGCTCCTGAAATGAGTGCCTCATTTGTTCATCAAGACAATCATTTGTTTAGAATAATTTGCCACTGCGGCCTCCTCTGTGTCTTGGTCTTTCAACAGATCGCTCTCATCGACTAGTCTTTTTAGGGTGTATGTTGAAAATGGCATGTTTGTCTTCAAGGGTTAATTTATTTAACTTGAACTGCGTCCCAAATGGCGCCCTATTCCCCATATAGTGCACAACTTTTGACCAGGGCCCCCATACATCTCTGGTCAAAAGTAGTGCGCTGTGTAGGGAATCCATCTCCAATGTGCGATGTCATTTCTGAGTCCTCAATGTTTTAGTGTGCATTCTTAGAACTGTATTTCTAAACCTCTTGTGCTGTTTGATTAGATGCATGGACCCTTCTTTCTCTTTTGTTGCTTTCTCACCTTGGGCTATCTGTTTGCCCAATCAGCAATCAATCGGTATGATATCGAATAGATCATTGGTAATCGATTGATTTATTGGTTATCCTCATCTTGAATGTGCTCTTCATTCTGATGTACTTTACAAAGTGAAGAGAAAACATGTTGCTAGGATACTCACTGTAATCTACTGCTGTTTATATCAGAAGAAAATATCTTAAATTGAACGGCATGAATTGTTATCCATGACGACAACGTGTGTATTTGTAAATAAAAGAAAGTTGCTAACCAGACTGGTTGTTTGTTTTAGAAATGACGTCATTAAAGGACTGTTTCTGTTTAAAGACAGTAAGGAAGTGGAAGGCAGGTGTTCTTTAACGCACAGCTCTGCTTATTTGTCTTTTATTGCGGTTACTATCCTCCCCAGGCATCGGGAGGGTCACAATATTTTATTACCTTCATTTAACTAAGCAAGTCAGTTAAGAACAAATTCTTATTTACAATGACGGCTTACACCGGCCAATCCCGGACGAAGCTGGGCCAATTGTGCGCCGCCCTATGGGACTCCCAATCATGGCCGGTTGTGATACAGCCTGGAATCAAACCAGGGGGGTCTGTAGTGACGCCTCAAGCACTGAGATACAGTGCCTTAGACCGCTGCGCCATTCAGGAGCCCATGCTAATGTCCCAAATGGCACCCTGTTCCCTATATAGTGCACTACTTTTGATCAGAAACCAATGGGCCCTGGTCAAAAGTAGTGCACTATATATTGAATAGGCTGCCATTGGTCACAGTATTTTAGACTAGAGAGCTGCTGGCTCATTATCAACATCATGAGACTTCCTCCTTCAGAGCCAAAGCTGTCCTGTTCTACTAACACTCCTCTTTTCCTCAGTCTCTTTATCTTTTCACTTCTGTCTCCATCTCTCCCTCTCTCCACTGCCCCTCAGCTTCACTCCTTTCCCCTCTTTTCTCTCCCCCGTCTCCATCTCTCCCTCTCTCCACTGCCCCTCAGCTTCACTCCTTTCCCCTCTTATCTCTCCCCCCGTCTCCATCTCTCCCTCTCTCCACTGCCCCTCAGCTTCACTCCTTTCCCCTCTTATCTCTCCCCCCGTCTCCATCTCTCCCTCTCTCCACTGCCCCTCAGCTTCACTCCTTTCCCCTCTTTTCTCTCCTCTGTCTCCATCTCTCCACTGCCCTCAGCTTCACTCCTTTCCCCTCTTTTCTCTCCTCTGTCTCCCTCTCTCCACTGCCCCTCAGCTTCACTCCTTTCCCCTCTCTTGACACGGCCCCCCTCAGGCCTGTAATCGTTGTCATGGTGACACTGCAGGCGTCCTTGGGAATCTCCTTGGAGAATAGGGGTGAGAAGGGTGTGTGGGTGTACGATTCCAGTGGGAGAGCTCTGTTTACAGGCCACAGTGACGCGGCTGACGCCAGAACCCCCTGGAGGACAGAGCAATAAACTGGTGCCTCTTTGTGTCCCCTGGTTGTCTGGTGGTTGGTCAGCACTGACCTCTTAAGCACTCTTTGTATCCCAAATTACACCCTACTGTATTCCCTTTTATACTGCACTACTTTTGACCAGGGCAGTGTGTTATATAGGGAAAAGGTGCCATTTGGGACGTATCCATTGCTTTACCTGGATCAGTGTATAGATGGGAGATGTGACTTCATGGAAGAGTCTGCCAGCAGTGGCGGACTGGCCATCTGGCATTTTGGTCCATTTTTAGCCCAGTGGGCCTGTTTAACTTGGATTTTTTTATGCGCAAAACTATCATTATCTGGCTAATACTTGGGAGCTTTAAAGAATAAAATGGGCCGGTGTGGGGGCTTCAAGGAAAGAAATGGGCCGGTGTTTTAGAAATGCCAGGACTGATTTCTGAGCCAAATGATTTATGTATTTAACCAGAGAAGTCACACTGAAACGTACATCTCTTTTTCAAGCGAGCCCTGGTCAGGAGAGCGCATACATATCAATGTAAAATACACATAAAACATAACAATGAATGGAAGTTAAAACGGTGAAAGAGCTTAAAAGAGCAGGTTTAAAAACGCGCAGCACCCCTCCAATCCTGGATTTAAAATGATCAATCAGAATAAAATGATCTACACTGAACAAAACTATAAACGCAATATGTTAAGTGTTGGTCCCATGTTTCATGAGCTGAAATAAAATATCCCAGACATTTTCCATACCCACAAAAAGCTTATTTCTCAACTTTTGTGCAAAAATGTGTTTAAATCCCTGTTAGTGAGCATTTCTCCTTTGCCAAGATAATCCATCAACCTGACTTGTGTGGCATATCCAGATACTGACTGGTTTTCTGATCCACACCCCTACTTTTTTTTAAAGGCATTTGTGATCAACACATATGCATATCTGTATTCACAGTCATGTGAAATCCATAGATTAGGGCCTAATTAATGTATTTCAGTTGACTGATTTCCTTATATGAACTGTAACTCAGTAAAATCTTTTAAATTGTTGCATGTTACGTTTATATTTTTGTTCAGCATAATTTTGTGATGAGCCATGCTAGGCTGCCTAATGACTTGTGTTGACTGTAGGCTTACATTTTGGCATGGTCTGACTACTGCTGCTGAGATCTATGCATACCGGTATTATAAAGCAATCAAATATCTGCCACCATTTTAATGTGCATGTTTAATGCAATACATGTTTAAGGTAATGAGCATGGTCTTTTTCTGGGGGAAATCATTATTTATAAAGCGTTAGGGTTTATAGTGCCATCTAGCGTTCGAATGACCTCTTATCAGCTCTAAGTAAGCAGAAGAAAGAAAAACTACAACTACCATGATGCCGTAATCAACGTCGTACGTGGAATGTTCCCCGGATGCAGTTGTGATTGACTACACGGCTGGAAAGTTTCGCTGTAGTCGAGAGGTGGTAAGATAAACAACTTTTTTGAATATAGATAATTATTGCAAACCATTGTTATACTTGCATGTATTCTAACACTGTGCTAATTGTGTCTGATAGTTACTTAAATTGTGTTTAGGAAGTGGAAACTTTGAGAAACTTCACATGCTAGTTCCTTAGCTTTCCATCTAGCTGGCTGGCTAGTGACTTATGGAGGTTACGCCCAAAAGATGACTACCTAGGATAGCAATTTTATTAACTTACTCAGGCATTACACTTTATCATAGGTAAATCCTTGTACTTAACTGGTACCTTGCTAATTAAGAAGAAAGACTTGAACAAAAGTTAGATAAATAATCAAAACAAACTTCAGCCAATGCGCTGCTGATGGTTTCTGTTTCGCCGGCCAGCTCCGGCCAGCTCCAGCCTGTGGACTTTGATTTTGAGACGAAGGTTAGAGTGTTCAGTAGGAACAACCAATCAGACAATTACTCCACATCTCATTTTACTCTCTCTACCTCTCCCTCTCTTCCTCCTTCCCTCTCTCTCCCTCTCTTCCTCCTTCCCCTCTCTCCCTCTCTTCCTCCTTCCCTCTCTCTCCCTCTCTTCCTCCTTCCCTCTCTCTTCCTCTCTTTTATCCTTCCCTCCTTCCCTCTCACTCCCTCTTCCTCCTTCCCTCTCTCTCACTCTCCCTTTCTCTCCAGCTGCTGCAGCCTGTGTGGTAGGTCGGTCTTAGGAAGGCAGCAGGACAGGAGACAGAATGCAGACCATAAAGTGTGTCGTGGTGGGGGACGGTGCTGTGGGTAAAACATGCCTCCTCATCTCCTACACCACCAACGCTTTCCCTGAGGAGTACATCCCCACCGTGTTCGACAACTACAGCGCCCAGGTGTGTGTGTGTGTGTGTGTGTGTGTGTGTGTGTGTGTGTGTGTGTGTTTTACACATATGTTTACACACTTGTGTGTGTGTTGCAGATGACTGTAGACGGCCGCAGCATCAGCCTCAACCTGTGGGACACAGCCGGACAAGAGGAGTACGACCGCCTCCGCACTCTCTCCTACCCCCAGACCAACGTCTTCGTCATCTGTTTCTCCATCGGGAGTCCTTCATCCCACGCCAACGTCCGCCACAAGTGGCACCCGGAGGTGTCTCACCACTGCCCCAGCGTGCCCATCCTCCTAGTGGGGACCAAGAGTGACCTGAGGAAGGATGGGGAGACGGTGAAGAAGCTGAAGGAGCAGGGTTTAGCGCCCACCACAAAGCAACAGGGGAACAGCATGGCGAAGCAGATAGGAGCGGTGAAGTACATGGAGTGTTCTGCTCTGACGCAGGAAGGGGTCAGGGACGTGTTCACCGAGGCAGTACGGGCCGTGTTGTATCCCGTTACCAAAAAGAATGCCAAGAAGTGTGTACTGTTGTAATGGAAGGGAGGGACTCGGCTGGGGAGAGAGAGTGAGGGGGGGAAAGGAGCGAGACAATGACAGAGCAAGGCTGAGTTTGTTGGAGGAGATGGACTCAGCCTCTCAGCCCCTTTGCCTGTAAAGACTCTTGATTCAGCTCACTTCTCTCCTCTCATTCTTCTAGCCCCCTCCTAAATCAAATCTGGAACTCAAAGCAAGTTCCACTGCTTTTTTCATTCTTTCTCTCTAATCAGGGACTGATTTAGATCTGGGACACCAGGTGTGTGCAATTAATTAATTTTTTGCAATGTTCGAAAGATGCTTCTACTTAATAATCGGTCTATTTTGTTTCGTATGATCCCTTGCCTGAAGATGTTTCTTAATATGCCATGATGACCGATCCTCAACATACAGTGACCGGATAGAGCTGGAGAGATGAGCTCTGCCTTAGTATGAGAGTAATCACAGCCTCTCCAGTCAGCTATTCAGGCTATCCGTCAAGGACTGTTGAAACCACACCTGGAAATAGCCAGTTCTGTGCAGCTCTCTGCTTTAGCTAGGTGTCCAGTTTACCTTCTTAATGTCCCTTCAAATGGATATTAGCCTAATCCAAGTATGATACAAGGGCCAAAGCAATGTGGTTGTGTGCTGAAATTTAAAAATCAATGAATCGATTGGTTGGATGAATGTTGTGAGTTTGAATGATTAATGCTGACAGGAATGATGGAACGACAGAGATATCAGATTGTTGGTTCTGGTTATTTATGCCAATTACATTTTATGTGCCTTATTGTAAGATATTTTACATTTATTTTATCTACCTTATATTGATTATTTGCTTTAGAAAACTGTTGAATAGCTGGTGTGTGTGTGTGAGATACTAGTCCCTGGCAGAGTTGATTAGCTCAATGTTACATCCTCTCAGAAGAACCAAAGCTTTAAATGAAACCAAAGCTTCTTTATCAAAGTGCAATGAAACCACTTTTTGACATTACGCAATGTTTCTGCCCTCTCAGCCTACTCAGAGACGGATGTAGGCCTATAACTGACATCAGAGAAGTGGTGTGATCTTGTGTTCACAGTCCTTAGCGTTTGCCACTAGAATGTGGTTTATGCTTCAACCTATATAATGCTGGTAAATGGAGTCTAGGGTTTACTGGCTGTGATAACTGACAATAACTACAACATGAAATGGGGCTAAGATTCAAATAACATTATTTTGTTATTGTGGCTGATTTTTTATTTTTACATGATTTTATTAAATGAATGAAACATGGCCGGTATAGCCTGGAAATTGATACGGTATCATACTGAAAATGTACAGGGTCAGACCTTCCGAAGATCTATGTAAGGTGCATCACAAATGGCACCCTGCTCCCTATTTAGTTCACTACTTGGTCAAAAGTAGTGCATTAAATAAGGAATAGGATACAATTTGTGACTCATTCCTATTTTATATAATCTTTTTAAAAATCAATATATTCAGGTGTTCAGCTGGAAGTTTTAATATAAACTAAACAGTAACCAATCATGGGAGTTCTCTCCTAGGTAGGGAGAGAGATGCGAATTTATTGTTTTTGCGAAAAAACCTCTGTGTGGAAGAAACATGTCACTCCACCTCTCAAGTTCTAGAGGGAGTTTACTTTATTCTGTCATGTGGAGGTCCTTCAGGGCTTCGTTGAAACAGATGTCGGTTGGACAGATCGCTGCAACTGTGTTGTGTAGAGGGTTTAAGAGAATGAAAGCGTACGTCCTGTGGGCTGCTTGTTGTGCTGCCGTGGCCTGATTTCACTCTGAACATGCTGTCGAAACAGAACACACACCTGTGGCCTTTTCGTCTGCATCTTACAGCTAGCTGTGTGTGTGTGTGTATGGTGTGTATGGTGTGTGTGTGTGTGTGTGTGTGCCATGGTGTGTGTGTGTAGGCCAAAGCTTGATGATTAGTTGATTATTTGAATCAGCTGTGTAGTGCTAGGGCAAAAACCAAAACGTGCCCCCCTTGGGGTCCCCAGGACCGAGTTTGGGAAACGCTGGTGTAGGCTAGTGTGTGTGTGTATGTGTGGGGTACTCAATTTATTATACACTGGGAACTTGATTTGTTTGTAGAATTGTTGTAATTTCATATATATATATATATATATATATATATATATATATATATATATATATATACTGAACAAAAATATAAACCCAACATGCAACAATTTTTACGATTTTACTGAGTTTCAGTTCATATAAGGAAATCAGTCAATTGAAATAAATTCATTAGGCCTTAATCTATGGATTTCACATGACTGGGAATACAGATATGCATCTGTTGGTCACAGATACTTTAAAAAGGGTATCTCTGTGCTTTCAAATTGCCATAGATTAAATGCAATTGTGTTCGTTGTCTGTAGCGTATGCATGCCTATACCATAACCCCACCGCCACCATGGGGCACTCTGTTCACAACATTGACATCAGCAAACCGCTTGCCCATAAGACGCCATACGCGTGGTCTGCGGTTGTGAGGCCGGTTGGACGTACTGCTAAATTCTCTAAAACTCTGTTGGAGGCTACTTATGGTAGAGAAATTAACATAACATTCTCTGGCAACAGCTCTGGTGGACATTCCTGCAGTCACCATGCCAATTAAAACAACTGTAAAACTTGAGACATCTGTGGCGTTGTATTGTGTGACAACTGCACATTTTATTAGTAGCCTTTTATTGTCCCCAGCACAAGGTGCACCTGTGTAATGATCATGCTGTTTAATTAGCTTCTTGATATGCCACACCTGTCAGGTGGATGGATATTCTTGGCAAAGGAGAAATGCTCACTAACAGGGATGTAAACAAATTAGTGCACAACATTTGAGAGAGAAGTTTTTTGGGATGTTTTATTTCAGCTCCTGAAACATGGGACCAACACTTTACATGTTGCGTTTTATATTTTTGTTAATTGTAAATCAGAAGTGTATTTGTATAAATGAAATAACAATGAGATGATTTTTAACTATGCTAAATAAAATTGTAGTTATAGTGATATTGTGTTATTTCTTGTGTGGTGTCCTCTGCTTCTGCAGATGGTGAGCTTGTGGGTGTAAAGTGGTTGAACCGGTAGCTGTGGGGTTAAAGTGGTTGAACCGGTAGCTGTGAGGGTAAAGTTGGTGAACCTGTAGCTGTGGGTGAACCTGTAGCTGTGGGTGAACCTGTAGGTGTGGCTGAAGCCTGCAGGATACATTGTAATGTAACTTGTTATTGACTAACCAAATGGAACAGAGCTTAGATCATGTAAAGATGTGGAAATCAAATGATGAAAGTGAAATGGAGACTTCATGACACAGTAGGCCTAGAACACAGCTCTAAGTACTAGGTCATGACACAGTAGGCCTAGAACACAGCTCTAATACCAGGTCATGACACAGTAGGCCTAGAACACAGCTCTAAGTACCAGGTCATGACACAGTTGGTCTAGAACACAGCTCTAAGTACCAGGTCATGACACAGCTCTAAGCACCAGGTCATGACACAGTAGGTCTAGAACACAGCTCTAAGCATCAGATCATGACACAGTAGGCCTAGAACACAGCTCCAATTACCAGGTCATGACACAGTAGGCGTAGAACACAGCTCTAAGCACCAGGTCATGACACAGTAGGAGTAGAACACAGCTCTAAGCACCAGGTCATGACACAGCAGGCCTAGAACACAGCTCTAAGCACCAGGTCATGACACAGTAGGAGTAGAACACAGCTCTAAGTACCAGGTCATGACACAGTAGGCCTAGAACACAGCTCTAAGCACCAGGTCATGCCACAGCAGGCCTAGAACACAGCTCTAAGTACCAGGTCATGACACAGGAGGCCTAGAACACAGCTCTAAGTACCAGGTCATGACACAGTAGGCCTAGAACACAGCTCTAAGCATCAGATCATGACACAGTAGGCCTAGAACACAGCTCTAAGCATCAGATCATGACACAGTAGGCCTAGAACACAGCTCTAAGTACCAGGTCATGACACAGTAGGCCTAGAACACAGCTCCAATTACCAGGTCATGACACAGTAGGCATAGAACACAGCTCTAAGCACCAGGTCATGACACAGTAGGAGTAGAACACAGCTCTAAGCACCAGGTCATGACACAGCAGGCCTAGAACACAGCTCTAAGTACCAGGTCATGACACAGTAGGCTTAGAACACAGCTCTAAGTACCAGGTCATGACACAGTAGGCTTAGAACACAGCTCTAAGTACCAGGTCATGACACAGTAGGCCTAGAACACAGCTCTAAGCACCAGGTCATGACACAGTAGGTGTAGAACACAGCTCTAAGTACCAGGTCATGACACAGTAGGCCTAGAACACAGCTCTAAGTACCAGGTCATGACACAGTAGGCCTAGAACACAGCTCTAAGCATCAGATCATGACACAGTAGGCCTAGAACACAGCTCTAAGCACCAGGTCATGACACAGTAGGCCTAGAACACAGCTCTAAGTACCAGGTCATGACACAGTAGGCCTAGAACACAGCTCTAAGCACCAGATCATGACACAGTAGGCCTAGAACACAGTTCTAAGTACCAGGTCATGACACAGTAGGCGTAGAACACAGCTCTAAGCATCAGATCCCAAGTGGCTACATGTACTGTATGTATTCAGTCCCTTTTAAAAGTTACACGGAGGCTACTGTGGCATATTTATCAGCACAGACTTTGATGGAAATAAGAAATTGCAGTACTAAAATACATGTACATCTATATGTGGTCCTCTGTAGCTCAGCTGGTAGAGCACGGCGCTTGTAACGCCAAGGTAGTGGGTTCGATCCCCGGGACCACCCATACACAAAAATGTATGCACGCATGACTGTAAGTCGCTTTGGATAAAAGCGTCTGCTAAATGGCATATTATTATTATATTATTATTATATTTTGTAGTTTGTGTTGAGTGCATAACCATTCTTCAACACAAGATGGCGACAAAGCCCCTCGGTTTTATTCCACATTCCCCAGATTGACACTCTTCCCTGGTTTACACACTGGTGTTACACAACCTTCTACATTCAGAGGTTGCGTCCCAAATTGCATCCTATTCCCTTAATTATGCACTGCTTTTCACCCCTGCCCACATAGGGCTCTGTTCAAAGGTAGTGCACTACATAGGGAATAGTACCATTTGGGACACTGACTCAGAGTTAATGTTCC